TTTTTAAAACATCTTAAGTGTTTTCTTTAATTTCTTTCTCCCTCTTCTACTTGATTATTGTTGAAAGAATATTAATAGAATTAATTCAAAAAAATTGATAAACATACAAAATGTGTCTTACTTATAAGACTAATATCAGCTTACAATCAGATTCTACATTAAACACGAGTATTATATTTGCATAGGATTTCATTATCTTTCCAATGCTGTGCACAGTTCCTTTTTTGATGACCAATAATGTCGTGCATAGTTGAAGAATGAAAATGCGACCAATGGGATAATAAAATTTGCATATGCGTGATTGTCAACAGAAATTTGATGTGTGATTCCACGCATACGAAAAAAATGCATGGTTTCAATATACTCCTCGTGTTTCATATAAGAGAATTTTTGGGGATAATTATTTTGGTCCATGCATATCTCTTACACGTTTGATTTGCCTCTTTCGGTCCACCTTTTTTTTTTTGGAAAAAAATTGTCCTACTAAGGTCTCAAATAAATCAAACTATGAAAATAAAGATTTCATTTATAAAAAAAGGGGGGAAAAGAAAAGAATGAATGAATTTTTTTGGAATATTAATAATCATGAATTAATATCAATCTTTTATAAAGGTGATAAAAAAAACAATTAGATAAGAGTAAAATAGAAAAAGAAAAATACTTCTCACTTAAAGGTAAAGATTGCTTAATGCATAAATTATTTTTTTAAAAAAATTTAAGCATGGAATTAAAAACAATTTTTTTTAAAAAAAAAGGCGAAACTTGAACGTCGTTGACTAGCTGTCCCTGAGGAAGCACCCGTGGGAAACGACATGGGGCGCCAGACGACAACCACCAAGAGTCAACAATACAGCGGCCAAAACGTAGAAGGAAGAATGGTCAAGGGACAGTTATGTCTTTTCCCATAATCTCCAAATGTCAAGGAACTTTAATTTCTTGTAATAAACTAAACTCGAGAAACTTATTTATAATTAATTTATTGATTTGTGATCTAACTTTATTTTTCCTTAAACAAAAATCCTAAAAAATGGCCTCTTACTCTTTATGCTGTGGATGCTAATGGCCGACCAAACACCCGTAAATCATATTTTCGGAAGAAATATAAAAATTTTTAAAAAATGAGTTGTAAATATTAACTCAGGCAGTTATAAATAAAAATTTTAATTATGAAGAATTTCATTTTAAACTAATATGTCTTACTTATAATTTAAAATGCTTTATATTTGAGCGTTGTGGGAGAATTCTATATCATTAGTATTTAGAATGGGTGTAATTTTGTAAATAAACAAAATCGGTCCGATGTACTCGTCCAAAGTCTATATTCTATATAAGACTTGTTACTTTGTTGTGGTCAAGTCTTATGAAATGATGGCGTTTGCTTGTGAATTAATTGAAGTTCATGTGACTTTCTTTTATTTCAGTCTATATTTTATATATATAAGACTTGTTACTTTAATTTGCCATGGTCAAGTCTGGGCCAATATGGAATAACTGAGTTTCAGCCATAAATATATAATAAAGAGACTACTTTATTGACCCTCTCATCTAAATTTTTATGGTTATTGAGAAGAAGATTTATCCATGTCTCTAGTACTCAGCGAAAATTCGATGCGTGCATTTTATAACAATGAGTTAATGCACGCAAAAATGAATTAAATATAACAAGCAGTTGAATGCATAAAAATAGATATAAAAATTGGAAGCATTTATCCTTTCAACAGAATAAAAATGGAAAATACGCAGTAAACAACAGAAGTTAAATTATTACGACTATATTATGACAAAACTGTCTATGACTCATGATGTTAACGTGAAAATTCTTGTGATGACATTTCGACTAATACAATACATAAGCTAGCACTATGCTTTGATCTCCACGCATTGATTGATTCAATTCAAGGCTTGGCTTCATTTGTGATATCATTTTGAAGGTGAACTTGAGCAATTGAATTGAAAGGTGAAAAATTAATTAATGCATGTGAAACATAATTTATTATTCAAACGAGATCCTTCAAGGTACGAGGGAAGGAAGAAATTTCCCAAAGAAAGTTAAGATCATCAAAAGTCATATCATGTATCCTTCATTTGAATAATACTCTTTGACTTCATTTCCCAAATTTATTGCTATGAAAATGAACATGGTTTGATTAATTTGATTTAATTAAAGTTGGAAGTTGGACGCACCCGTTTGTTAATGACGAACAATTAAACTTGATCACGCTTATTAATTTATGGCAATTGCTTCTGCTTTAGACTAACAATTAATTAACCCCTTAGCTTGATCAACTTAACCACGCTTCATTCTTATTCTGAATTGGAAAATTATTTCCCTGACCTGAATGAAAGTATTTAATGTTTGAACGATTTCTAGAAAGAGAACAATTTAATTAAAAGTAGTACGCGTAACTTTCAAAATTGTTCTGCCCATCCATTTTTACCAGGCAACTTCATGTACAGTTAAGGCTCAGGCCCCACCTAACCCCACAGGAAAGTAGACTCGATGAATGAAATCCTCTATAAATTGATTCAATACGTACCAGGGGCTTCCCATAAAAAACGCATTACATACGTTGCAAAACTAGAAGCCATGTCTGTTGCAGCATCTCATCGTGACAACACAAGAAGATGTGCCAATTTTGCTCCAAACATCTGGGGCAATGTGTTTCTTCAATATGCCTCAGGATCTAAGGTGTTCTATATGTGTGTGTGTGTGTGTTTGTAATTATATGCAACTTATATTGATCGAACATTCTAGCTAGCTTGTTTGTTTCTTTTTAAATTAAACATGTATTAAAATTACCTATCTGTGCGGTTTGGGATATGAAAATTACATGCTTGTTTGGGAATTTTTCAGGAAGTTGATGACAATGTGGAACATAAGGTACAGAAAGAGAAGTTAAAAAAGGTTATATCTTCCAACGATCAGAGTCCTACAGAAAAGCTAGGCTTCATTGACTGGGTCCAACGTTTGGGAGTTTCCTACCACTTCGAACATGAAATTGAAGAAGCATTGGCAAATATTCGCAGCATTTATGCCAGCAACAACAATGTTATTAGGCAGGATGGAGGTGATAATCTTCACTTTGTGGCTTTACTGTTTCGGTTGCTCAGGCAACATGGATATCCCGTTTCATCTGGTATGTTCAAACTTCGTCACTATTATATTTGCATTGTTTAATGAGAAGAGTTACTTTTCTCTTTTCAAGCACCTCTACTAATTGGTATATACATACGTATGAATCAGATGTATTTGAGAGATTCAAGGACATCAAGGAAAAGCGTAATAATGAAAGTCTTACCGAAGATGATGTTGAAGGAATGCTGGCGTTGTATGAAGCTACACAATTTGAGGTTCACAGAGAGAGCATACTGGAGGAAGCTCTTCACTTCACTTACACTTACCTTAAATCCCTCATAGATAACACCCAACTGAGCCCTTGTCTCCATGCACGTGTCAACCACCGCTTAAGTCAGCCTCTGCACAAGAGATTGCGTAGGCTAGAGGCAAAGCATTACATGTCTTTCTATCAGCAACAAGATACTTCCCAAAATCACAAAATTTTGCTCAACTTTGCAAAACTAGATTTCAATATGCTGCAGCAACTGCATCAAAAAGAACTTGGCAATATCACCAAGTAAGTGAAGTGTTGTATTCTCTTAACTAGTAATGACTTGTAGGATATAACAATGAACACTACTGTTAATTTGTATTATAGGTGGTGGCAAGGATCAGAGTTTGTGAGAAAGGTCCCTTATGCAAGAGATAGGTTGGTGGAGGCCTACTTTTGGTCTTTGGCCTTGTCCTATGAGCCTCAGTTTAGCACAGCGAGGATGCTAGTTGGCAAAATGGTTGCTATTTTCTGTCTTCTTGATGATACTTATGATGCCTATGGTACACTTGAAGAACTTGAACTCTTCACAGAGGCCTTCCACAGGTTTAATTAATCACAGATATATATATATATATATATATATTTTAGGGCCATTTAACAATCTTTTCACTGATTCTTGAATCTTATACATGACTGATAAATTTCGTTTATTATTTGATTATCAGATGGGATATAAGTCCCATTGAATCTCTTCCAGAGTGTATGAAAGTGGTGTTTGAAGCAGTTGTAGTACTGTGCAATGAAATGGAAATGGTAACTGCAAAAGAAGGAACGTCAAATTTTGTGATCCCACTTGTTAAACAAGCGGTATGCTATAAGTGATCTTGAAGGATGTTACATTTTATTCGATTTGTAACTTAGTAGTTAATTACGTACATGTTTTTGGTTGTAGTTTTATAACTTGACGAAGGCATACTTGATGGAAGCAAAATGGTGCAATGAAAACTATATTCCAAGTTATGAGGAGTACAAGGATAATGGCGTTGTATCCTCCACTTTCCCACTTCAGATAACTACATTTCTGGGCCTCGGAAACCTTGCAACCAAAGAGGTGTTTGATTGGATTTCCACAAATCCAAAAATAGTTAGGGCTGGCTCACTTATTGCTAGACTCATGGATGACATGGCCTCTCATAAGGTACAACTGAAGACACGAAGGATTCTACCCATGTCAATTAATTTTGATGTTTCAAATGAAATGTTTCTTTTAGTCTTAATTATAGGGCAAAATTAATTAATTTTACGGTTATGAAGAAGTGGTTATTGATATCTTTAAATTTATAGAAAATATATGACGTTCTAATCTCGTCCTTCACTAAAATTAAAGATTACAATAATATGTTTTCCCAAAAAAAAAAAAAAAGCATGCCAACAGTTTGTTGCAATCGAGGAGGGGCATGATTTAAAACAAAATTCAATTACCAAATTTTTGCGGCCATAAAGACTTTAAAATTTTGCCCGTAAGTATATAAACTATTGTTCTTTTTATATATCCTTACATTTTAGATTAATAGTGATGTCATAAAGCACATACATAATCCTTATATTAGTTGGAAGAAACAAATACAAATAGTTTTACTGTTTTTTTTTTTTTTCATGGACATGTAGTTTGAGCAGGAGAGAGGGCATGTTGCTTCAGGAGTGGAATGTTGCATGAAGCAGTATGGAATTTCAGAAGAAGAAGCCTATAAAATACTCGATGAAGACATCAAAAATTACTGGAAGGATATTAATGAGGAGTGCCTGAACAATCCACATGATGTTCCAAAGTCCGCGCTTGGTTTTGTCCTCAATTTTGCCCAAGGGATTGAGGTTGTCTATGAAAATCAAGAAGACAGATTTACCAATGGCAAGTCTCTCAAACATTATGTCGTCCAGCTCCTCTTGAACCCCATACCCATTGAGCCGTGACGCAGCTTTATATATTTTATATTTAGGACTTGTCATTTGAATTCGTTGTGTTGCCGCGTGTAATAGTGATCTAGCTACTTCCTAGGTTATCCAACTATGCTGTTATTGATTACTGTGTTTGTTTAAGAATTGAAGTTTGTTTATTGTTCTCTTTTGTTTGAGGCATGAATAAAAATGTATTATTACGTTAAAGAACCTTCCATAATACTACAGATCCTTGCGAGTTTAATTTTGACCTGTCACACGGCTTTTTGGATTTAAACATGTTATACTTTTATTGAATATTTGAGTGATCGAAAAGTAATTCCTCAAATTTCGTGTTAAAAATTCTAAATTGAAAACTGCGTTTTTCATATGAATAAATGTATGTTTGATATTTTTATTATATATGAAATATTGATGCATAAAAGTATGTTGATCCTGTGTAAACTATGCGGTTTCAAATAGATTAATGACATAGTACATAAATTAGAAAATATAAATCAATGGCTGAAAAATTATTTCCTAACTAACAGATTCTCACGTGCAATATATCAGATGTTTAAAAAAAAAAAACTTCATACAATAAATCAAATTTTAAGTGCTAAGGCATGTTTTCATAATTCTACTAAAAATAATCAAGATCACATTTCCTTTCCACGACAATAACTAGTATTATAGATTTGAATTATCTTCAAATGAATCTAAACCTGCGCTGTATTCGACTTGTTTTGGGGCTTTATGAGTCATGGAACTTTTGCATTAATAAATTTAATTCAGCAATTTACAAATACGCATTAACTATCCATAATAAATTTGCATTCCTCAGCAAGTTTGTGTTGTTTGTCTAATCACAACAGAGATTTATAAATTAACAAGTTGAATTTAGCTATTCACAACAAAAAATGTGATAAAGTTCCATTTTTTAATAAACATATGTTGTTATTCAATTACAAGATAGGTTTATAAATTAAAAAGTCCAATTTAGTAATTTACAAGTCCAATTTAATAATTTAAAAGTCTAATATATACAAATCTAAAACTAAAGTTGAGTCTATGGACCAATTAGAAATTTGTTGAACTTGTCAAGGTCAAATGGGATTTTCCTAAGTGACTTTAAAGAGGATTTCTGTATAATTAATTTATTCATTTGGGATCGGATTTTAATTTTCTTTAAATAGAAAACCCCGAAAATGGCGTCTTACTCTTTATGTGGTGGATACTAATGGATCAACCTAACATTACCAAATTTTAATAAGATTGATAATTAGGTCTCAAAAAATCAACTTAACGACAGATATAATTCAAATAATTTTTTTTAAAATGAGTCGTAAATACCAATTTAGATAGTTGCAAACAAGAATTTTAGCTGTAAACTCGCGATAAGACTTGTTATTTGAATTCGTTGTGTATATCAAGTTTGTGGGTGATGTGGATATATTCCTAGCTATTATCGAATCATGTTTGCTTATGAATTTGACGTTTCTGTGTGGCTTTCTTATTTTGTTTTGAGGCGTGAATATAAATTAGTTGTTTGACTAATTTTCTTGTGTCTTTTTCTCACCGGTCATCATTATTATCACCGACAAGTTTCTTCCCTCTCATACCCACAAATTCATTAGTCGAGCATTAATCACTGTAAACTTTTTCATTGGTGTTCCATAAGCAAATGAAGACCACAAATTTTCCATGGTTACAAGTCTTTTTCAACAGTATGCGTGTTGTTTTCTTAAACGTTTTCAAATTTTTCTTCTATTGACACCATGCTTTTAGGGAGAAAAACTTCTTTTGTTTCTGAAAAGTTTCATGTGTTTTGAAACAAAAATTATTTCCTTTTCCTAAAAAGTTTTATATTTTTTTAAAAAATTGTTTCTTATTATTGAAAAGTTTGGCATTTTTTCAGGAAAAATATTCAATTTTGCTCTTCATTAAAACTAGAATTAATATCCATAATAAAATGCTCCATTGAATTAACGATTGGTAACAAGAAACTCAATTCCGATGAAACATAATGAGGCTAACAATAAATGAAGGAGGGGCAGGATTGGAGGGGAAAAAATCTAATACTATAGGAGTATATTTTTATCCTCTATTTAGGACTGAGTAGGAAAGAAGTACTTAGAATTATACTCCCTCCGGTCATAAATATAAGACCCATTTTGTAGTGTAATTTATACTACAAAATGGGTCTTATATTTAAGACCAGAGGGAGTAATTAGTAATAGGACCCAAGATAGTACCTCTTTAATCTCTATAAATATATATACCCCCTCGGCACCTCCCATCCAATGTATCAATCATCACATTTGACCATCTCATCCAGAACAAAGAGACGTGATTAGTTACATTTTAATGTTTAAAAAAGAAACAAACTTTTCAATTTACCTTCATTAAATGCATCATCGTTTAAAAATATAAATCCATCTCCTGTACAAACTTTTACTCAACTCATACGAAATTATAAAAAGGGTAAAGTTAGGGGAAAAAAATTGATAGTCCATCTTCCTATGCAAAGTGACTTATAAAACAAATTAAATTATGAAAGTTTTCTAGAATGTGACTCACATATGAGAATGGAGGGAGTGTTTGTATTGGATTGTATGTATATGTTTCATTATATTTTTTGGATGAAATAGAATATTTTCTTTTTAAATATTTTTAAAATTAGTAAATCCTACCAAACAATTTTATCACAAATATGCCTTCCTGTACAATATGTTTATGAGCCTAACTTCATGGCGGATCGTACTTTAATTAGGCCTTTGTCTATGTATTATAAGCCTTAGCATGGATATAATTAACTTACCTAATTTCTTTAATCTAATCAAATTAATTAAATATGTCTTATATTAAAGACCAAAGGAGTATTTCTCAGGTGCGGTGTTGCGAGTTCAGCCCTTTATGTGATACGTATATATGTGATTTTCCTTCTATTAGATGAATAATGCCAAAAAAGTTATTAAAATTTTTAACAGGTAGTTAATAATCTTATAGCCAAGCAGTATGAAAACCTTGCAGGTAGAAAGTCGCATATTCTACCCCGTTTATAATTTTACGTAAGTACGAAAGGAAAAGGTTTTCTATATAAGACCCACACAAGCAAGCTTTGTTCTGCCATGAAAACCCGTAGTTGAAGCAGAAGAGGGATACAGAACGTCTTCTATTGCTGCTTCAACATTAGTTTCTGTTCCTCCTGCTTCAAGAAAACACACCAATGAGTCCCACATCGGAAGATACTGTGCAGAATTTCACCCTTCTATTTGGACCGACCATTCCCTTCAATATGCCTCTCACTCTCACTCTCACTCTTCTGTATACATAATTTACTGCTTTAAACTTTTCTTGCTGATTCTTCTGCTTTCCTCTTTATATCCATGCTTCCTTTCTTTCTTTCTGATGAGTACATATATAATGACGGTGCATGTGTGGGAAATTAATCTTACGGCCCAGGTATTTGAATTCTTCAAATCATATTACAGTATATCTTCTCTCAATATTTTATGATCAATTAATACTGAAGCTTTGAGCTTCCCTCATGTTGGCTCACTTACATCACTTAATTTTATATTTTAACTTCTTTTTTTTTTTAATTCTGTTGCTGTTTGAGCTTAGAAGTAAATACTAGCTCCGATCATAATTATAAGACCTGGTTTGTAGATTACAAACCAGGTCTTATAATTAGGACTGGAGGTAGTATTAATTTTTAAGATCCTTTAATGATGTTATCAAGTGCTCTTATGATTACTCTTTCCATTTTTTTTTTTTTTTACATCTTGGCGCACGTTGATGGATTTTTTCTTCTGACACTATCGTTATACGGGAAGTTAATCATAGTGAAACAGTGCAACACGTCGAAACTCTGAAAGAGGAAGTGAGGAAGATGCTTGTTCCTACCAGTGAGAAGCCCTCAATCTCAAAAGTTGAATTGATTGATTCAATTCAGCGCCTGGGTCTGAGATATCATTTTGAAAGTGAAATTGCAGTAGTGTTGCAGCAAACTCACAAGCACTACGTTCAAAATGGCCAATTAATTCTTGACTCAGACCTATGCTCTCTTGCTTTGCTTTTCAGATTACTGAGGCAAGATGGATATCTCATTTCACCTGGTGTATATATATATCTGCCTCATGGTTGAGTAGAAAAATTACATCAAATGACTTAAATGATGAAATGTTTTAAAATCGTAACCATTTATTGTGAATATTTATGCCAAATCAGACGTATTTAGTAAGTTCAAAGAAGGAGAAGGAAAGTTTAGTGAAAGAGTTAGCAACGATGTGGAAGGAATGCTGAGTTTATACGAACCTGCTCATCCGAGTATTCATGGAGAAAAAATCTTAGATGAAGCATGGCTTTCACTTCCACTCAACTTCCGGCCATCATCAAGACTATTGAACCAAACACATTTCTTAGCTTGGTGAACAAGTTCATAATAGTTTAAGGCAATCTCTCCACAGGAAAATTCCAAGGTTAGAAGCTCGAAAGTATATTTCAATCTACCAATTACAACCTTCCCACAATGAAGCCTTGCTAACCTTAGCAAAATTAGATTTCATTGTCCTTCAAAATCTGCATCAGAAAGAAGTTGCAGATGTTCGCAAGTAAGTCCTTGAACCTCTTGAACCTTAGATTTTTTTCCTTTAATTGTAAGGATATCTAAATGTGGATGGACTTAAGTTGATGTGACAAGTCTTCTATGGAATAGCATTGGGCTTAATAAATTGAAACCACCCATATATTATAACATATGGAATTATCTCTTTGCGGACAGAAAAAGAAACATTATACATGTTGTGGGGGGCGTCGGCCCCATGTTTCTTGAGCCTATGACCCACCATGTTTCTTTCACGCTGCGAGGAAACTGAGAGCTTAGACTAGCTAGTGACGACGATAGATCTAAGCCTTTTAGGTTAACTTAATTACTTTCTTGCTATATATATAGAGCTAATGGATTTTGGTGGGGTTACGGATCAGGTGGTGGAACAGCTTGGATGTGCCCGGAAATCTATCATATGCGAGAGACAGGATTGTGGAATGTTACTTTCGGATTCTTGCAGTTTATTTGGAGCCTCAATACTCTTTAGGCAGATTGATACTCACCAAAGTGATAGCCGTTTTATCCCTTATTGATGATACTTATGATGCTTCTGGAACCATCGATGAGCTGACCATTTTCACTGATGCACTTGAGAGGTATATACGGTACATATCAGTGTGTACACACTGAAAATCTTGCGTTTTTTTAATGTTTGGTTCTAATATATTGTTTTTTTAATTAAATAAAAGTATTAACCGATCAATGATTGTATAAGGTGAGATATTTGCTGCTTGGATGATCTCCCAGACTACATGAAGTTACCTTACGAGGCACTGTGGAATGTTTATGATGAAATGGATCAGTGCATGAGGAAGGGAGTACAGCATTAATTACGCAATATCTGAAGTATGATCAAATGAACCAAGTCACAGTTTAAGGACTTGGTTACAATCGAGTCAAAAATCAAAATACTAATTTTCCCAATAAACAATTTAGAAAATTAAAGTTCTTAGTTATATACAATTATATTTAGTCACCTAAAGAGTGACGATGTAAGTTGATGGCAGATGAAGAAGGCGGCGAGAGCCTTCATGAGAGGGGCCAAATGGTTCAATGAAAACTACGTGCCAACAACAGAACAGTACCTTGAGACAGCAGTGATAACTTCTTGTTATTCATTGCTCTCAACAGTATCTTTCTTTGGGTTGGGACATCTTGCCACTGAGGACATGTTCAAATGGGTTACAAGTCAGCCGAAGCTTGTCAAAGTTTCTTCCCTTATTTGCAGAGCCATGGACGACATTGTCTCTAGTGAGATACTTAATTATATGACATATACATAATTAAAATGAAGATCATTTAATTTGGTGATTTTGAAACCTTTTAATTTGTGTGCGTACAGTTTGACAGAAAAGAGGGCACGTTGTGTCTGTTCTTGACTGCTATATGAAGGAACATGGTGTGACAAGGCACGAAGCCATTGAAGAGTTTCGTAGGGTTGTTAGTAATGCGTGGAAGAATATGAATGAAGAACTCCTTAGACCTTTGGGAGTGGACAGGCCCTTTCTAATGCCCACCTCTGAACTTAGCTCGTGTTATGGACGGGCTTTGCAAAGAACAAGATAATTACACTCATGCTAAAGGCATCATGAAGAATTCCATTACAGATTTGTTGGTGGATCCTGTGCCTATAGGAGCAGCAACCTCGTTTTTCTCATACATTTATACTATTTCTAGTCTTTAATATAAGATCTAGTTAACTAGTTAGATCTTATATTAAGCACTGGAGGTAGTAGTTTACAGTCTCCTTACTTAGACAAATTGTTGAAGTAGTATTAGATGTTGGGTAACAAAAAAATTGGGATAGCTACTATCGTAAGTCTATATATAAAGGATTATGGCTTGGGAGTAATATAGAGGCTGGATCCTCACCTAGAGAAAGGTTCCCTTCTCATTTGTCAATGTTGGTGTTAGTTCACCTTTTAAACAAGGGTTTAATTTTTTCTATGTTCGTCACTTTTAGAGGGTTGATTGTTATTTGTATTGCTTGATCTTAGCATGTTATTAATAAAAAAAGATATGTTCTTTTTTCCTCTTATCTCATGTGATTAACACACATGAGCCAATAGGAAGGACAAAGAATAAAATTAATCTGTACTAGCTCCCTGCCATTTTTAATATATATAAGAGCTATTTAATTAATTGAAATAGATTAAGAAACTCACATAAGTTAGTGGATCAGAACAAATTATCTACGTGTAACATTATATTATGCATTAATTTATAAGTTAGTAAATTAGTTGGAAAAAATGATAAGTATGAAAGATAAAGTAAAATGATACCTATATTCAACACCAATTTACCTCCTAGCTAACTCATATATTTGATACTTTTGGATAATTCTTTTGTCCAAATCTTCTTGAGGTCTTGATGCCCTACTTTAATTTATAATACTATCATGTGATTTTGTGCCTTACCCTTTCTTATTGTAAGAAAAGAAAAAACAGACAAGAAGAAGAATTAAACTTGACGGCACTGACATTTTCTATGGGCAACAAAATCGGAGAAAAGCTAATAATGAAATATTTTAAAAAAAATCACTGCCACTTATTAATTTATGCTAATAGCTTCTATGCTTCAGGCAAATAATTGTCGGTTTCAGTCATTCTTAACTTCAATTAGTTATATTAACTTAACCTCTTACAATTAGTTATATTAACTTAACCCCTTAGTTTGATTAACTTAACCGCGCTTCACTTATTCTTAATAATTGTGCGATTCAATTTAAAACGATGAAAATGACAGAAACTGCGTGGGTGAGGTTTAAGTGCGTTTTCCCATCATCGTGATATACTTCTCTGATTCTACATGTTTAACAAAGACCAAAAAAAAAAATTCAACTTTATTAACTCTCATTTAAAATTCAACAACTCTCTAACTTTATCTATATTTAATATACATTATACCTTATATAAACAAAGTGAATAAATAACAAATAAGGGGTAAATTATACATTCATACAAAAAATTTCTCTCAGTGTCCTATAAATAAAACTAAAAAATGTCTTTTCTCCCTGCCCTATAAATAAAACAAGAGGAGTATCTAAATCATCGTCCCAACCTAATTTATATGATTTAAATTTGAAAATTTTAATTAGTTAACTTTTTTTTAAGAAAATGAAATGTTACATTTTGATAAGTGATTGTTAAAAAATAAAATTTATTTATTTTGAATTTTATGATTATTAAAAATGTACAAATAATAATATGGAGGACAAAGAGTTATCCATTGGCATTGTTAACTAATTTCTATTGGAAGTACGAGGACAACCAAACGTATCCCAACTATACTAGCTTTTGATTGAAAAAATAAAATAAAATAATTTTAATAGTCATTAAGTGACTTTTAATGATAAAAAGATTAATTTAGATTTTTTTTGTGCATGAAAAAACAAACTGTGTGTTTATGTTTTTTCACATTAATACCTGGAAAAATCACTATAAGCCTAAAAAAAAATATTTATCAAAAAGTTCCTATAGCAATTAAATAGCATAAATCATGTTGTCATTTGGTACTGGAAACATATCATTCTCTTGTTATAAAATTTTTTAATAATGACAATTTTTTTTTCTGAATCACATAATGGTTTTTCTTTTTTTTTTTAAAGAGGAAATTTTGTTTATGCATTGAAAATAGTCCCCCCACCCCCCACCCCACCCCAAAAATGGCCTTTCGTGGCTTCAACTTACTCTAGACTACAAAGCTCCGAGACAAGATATAACTAATTCAGATAACTTTTTTTTAAAAGAAGTATTTTGGGCCAGAAACGATTATAACGTGTGCTTCAAATAGGAAGGATCTCGGCCCGACAATATCCTATCATGGATTAGTTAAAATTGCTGGGGCCCATTTTGTTGGCCCTCGCAAAAGCCCATTTAGTGTGGCACATCCTCCTTTGGTAATTCCGATGGATACGCAAACACAATATTTTATGTCGGGAGAGGGATCTTTTCACTTCTTTTTCCTTTCATTTTCCTTCACGTTTTATCTTGATCACAAGGTTACAATTTTCAGGCTTTGTTAATTAGCCCTCACGCTAATTTATGATGAAAATAAAACGAGGAACAATATATTTAACATAAATAATAAATTGAAAGAAATTAAAATAGTAAAAGAATAATTTTAAGAAAAAAACTTAGGTCAAATTACTGATCCATTATGTCAAATTTTCTAATCATACATGATCATATGTCTTTTTTTATTTTATATGAATTTATAATTAAATATTATTAAATATTAATATTTTCAAAATAGGAATCACAACTTGAGGTAATAAACATGAGGAACTTCATATAAGTATTGCCCCAATTTTAATATGCCATTTGTTTCCTAAACATGAAATATTAAATACTTATATAACTTATCACCCAAAAAAATTTTTTATATAACTACTTGTGTAGAAAGAATATACACACTTCATTATATTTCATGAGGTCTCATTTAAAATTGTTATGCTATTTCATTTTTTTTCAGTTAAATTTTATTTGATTAAGTCGTTTTTCAATTAAATTGTTTGAATGAAATTGATGCTGAACACAAGTTTTTAGACAAGTGTTAATCGCTTAAAGAACAACTTAATGGAAGAGAAATGGATAATTTTTCACACATATATTGTCTTCCTTCAATAATCAGTCTAAAATAAAAAAACTAATTCACATCCTTAGTATAAAAGTTAGATAATAACTCATAAAAATAAAAATTAATTAAGTTAGTAATTATAATAAATGTGTTTTTTTAGAATGCGCTTTCCAATCCTACGCATTTAACTACTCCTTTGAGTCAGAACAAATTTTATATTTATCTCTTATATTTATGACAGGAGGCAGTAAGAAAAATAAAATGATGTGTGCCCACCCATTTCTTTTAACTTTTTCACTAGTGACCCGCCATTTATAAATTGTGAGAAACGTGCATGGATTCTAATTCCCCAGGTGAGAGGAGCAAATTAATTGAGAAGAATAATTTAATGAATTGATCTTTGACTTTTCCTATAAATACCCACACATACCCTACACTGTGGCTACAGCCAACCTCAAGGTCGAAATATAGTACGAAAAACCTTGTCTTCCTTTCTAAGGATATAGACTCACGAGATGTCTATCGTTGCTGCTTCAACGACCCTTGTTCCTTCTTCATCAGCCCATTTGCGTCGACATCTTGCAGATTATCATCCTACTCTTTGGAAGGATTATTTCCTTCAATCTGCTTCCCAATCTTTGGTATATACTTGAAGCTCTCTCTCTCTCTCTATATGTATATATATACTTCTTGTTATCTTGGTTTACTTGATAACGATGAGTTGCTTAAAAACTGTGCAGGAAGTTGATGAAGAAATGGGGAAACAAGTTGAAACAGTGAAAGAAGAAGCGGGGAAGATGCTCATATCTACAAGGATGGAGAAGCCCTCAACCAAAGTACTCGAACTGATTGATTCAATTCAACGTTTGGGCTTGTCGTACCTTTTTTAACGTGAGATCGATGACCTACTGCAGCAAATTCACAACACTTACGTGCAAAATAATGAAATTGTAACTCATACTGAAGATCTCCATTCTCTCGCTCTACTCTTTAAGCTACTGAGGCAAGAAGGGTATCCCATTTCACCTGGTATGTGTGTGTGTATATTTGCTATACTATGAGTTTAATTTGCTTCCTTCAATATGTTTTATTAATAACTAAAGATATAAACATATATTTCATTACCATGTATAAGATATGTTCAACAAAGTTCAAGGATGAGCAAGGAAGCTTCAGTGAAAAGATAGCATCAGATGTTGAAGGGATGTTGAGTTTGTACGAAGCTGCGCATCTCAGTGTTCATGGAGAGGACATTTTAGACGAAGCGCTTGCTTTTACTTTCAATCGTCTTCATCGCTCCATCACCACCATTGAATCAAACCCTTTTCTCGCAGCAAAACTCCGCCATAGCTTAAAGCAGTGTCCTTACAGCTGGGGATTGCCAAGGCTAGAGGCACGAAAGTACATTTCCATATACCACTTGAATCCCTCCTGTAATCAAGTTCTTCTGAAGCTGGCGAAATTAGATTTCGATATGTTCCAAAAACTGCATCAGAAGGAGTTCGGCAATCTCTGCAAGTGAGTTCTCGAGCCTCTTCGGATAAAATAATTAGTTTGTCACTTTGAGAAAAATGTTATATTGATTATGAAAATGCAAGAAACTTCGCTTTAATAATTCTTTGGTATCTACGTACGTTTAGGTGGTATAACAAATTGGATGTGCAAAGAAATCTTTCATATGCAAGAAACAGGATCGTCGAACTATGCTTTTGGATTCTTACGGTTTATTTTGAGCCTCAGTACTCTAAAGCTAGAAGCATAATGACCAAAGTGATTGCCCTACTATCCATCATTGATGATACATTCGATGCGTATGGAACTATCGATGAACTAGAACTCCTCAACGAGGCAATCCAGAGGTTTATATCAGTTCTGATCTGAATTCTCGAGTTTTGATCTATCTGTTTAGAAGAAATCAGTGTGTGTGTGTATATATATATATCTCACCATCTCTTTTTCTGGTTTTCCTGCTGTTGAATTAATGCTGGCATATTCGTTGCTTGGACAATCTCCTAGAATATATCAAATTATTTTACAAGGAACTGTTGAACGTTTTCCAAGAAATAGATGAAGATATGGGGAAAGAAGGAAGATCATACAGTGTTTACTATTCCAAACAAGAGGTATATATATATATTATACATATGAATGACTTTGTTCTTTTAACCATCATCAATTCCGCAACTTTTTGAAACTATAAACGAACCAGATGTGACCGTCGATATCAAATATACTGTAATTTCGTTGATGAAAGTTTAAAAAGGCAGTGGAAGCCTACATGACAGAAGCAAGATGGTTAAATAAGAAGCATATTCGGACAACAGAGGAGTACATGAACGTATCGACAGTATCAACTTGTTATCCAGCTCTTTCCGCTGCTTCTTTCATCGGCATGGGAGACATAGCCTCCGAGGATGTCTTCAAGTGGGCCCAAACTCACCCTAAAGTCATTAAAGCTTCTGCACTTATTTGCAGACTCATGGATGACATTGTCTCTGGTGAGGTAACTACACATATACACACATTAATTCTTTCGAACTAGAAATTAAGGTGAAGATTTGGTGCTTAATATAGTTATTGATGTAGTTTGAGAAGAAAAGAGAGCACATTGCGTCACTGATAGAATGCTACATGAAGGATTATGGAGTGTCAAAGGAGGAAGCCATTGGTGAACTTGAGAAGAAGATCGGGAGTGCGTGGGAGGATATTAATGAAGAGTGTCTGAGACCAAATATTAGCCAAGGGATGCCAAAGCCCATTCTGATGCGAGTTCTGAACGTGACTCGTTTCATGAATGTCATGTACAAGGATGTCGATAACTTCACGCATTCTGGAGGACTCATGAAGGATTCTATTCAACTTGTGATCCTTGACCCTGTGCCATAAATATGATCATTATCTTATATATATATTAGTGTTTCCTTAATTCGTTGCCTGGTTTTACTCAGGAGTATCATGAAAAATTCAACGTGTGGCATATTTTATATATATATATATATGGGGTGTTTTTGTTTACTTCAAGGGTGAAATGTATCTTCCCGTGTCCTTTGGGAATAAGCTTGTTTTTGTGTTTTTGATTGAAGATGATGAGTGAGAAAGAGAATGAGCGAGAGAAGAGGTAAGAGAGAATGGGTGGAAATGAAAGACGAGAGATTCATGTAATTAATTGTAGGTAAAAATAAAAATATGCATTAAATTTTTGGACAAATGCTAATCATAATTTTTATATAGGACCAAGCATATCTACAGAAGAGTATGTTGCCTTTATATGAGCAAGGGAGTTCCCCCCCCCCCCCAATCTTAGACAAACAAACGGCATTAAATATTTTTTATTTTTCTTAGAGCAACGCCGCAGCTGTAAGTTGAGTATAAGTCGGATCAAAATCAAAGTGCTTCGAAGAGAATATGATATTTGTGAGTAAAATTTTAGTTGGGAACGAAGAGGAGGGAAGGGAGGTAAGTGGAGGAAAACAAAATTTTGATGTTTATTTATTAGTAAAATCAAGGGAAAATTAATCTTTTGGTCCTCTAACTTTTAACTCATTTTTAATTCAGTCCTTCAACTATAACTAGACACGACTCCTGAACTTTAATTCAGTTATGACTCAATCCCTTAACTTTTCACATTTAATAATTTAATCCTTTTTCATATATAAATTATGTTGAGTCATCAATTAATTATCTGATGTGGCAAAAATATTATTTAAAAGTATTAAAAATGGCAATTAGAGCTTCTAGCGTAGAAAAAAAAAAGCATAAGCTTTCTTCTTTGTTCTTCACCCGCTCTGGCAAGGCCACGCCGGCGAAATTCAAAAAGGCTGTAGTGTGAACCAAATGGTGAACTCTGCATGCTGCTACTCCTATTTCAATGTTGCAGCAAGTAAGATGGTGAACTCCACGTTTTCTCCCAGAAAATTTGCAAGTTGGAATAACAGATGCAATAAGAATGGATGTGGAAAAACAAGTAAATAGAAGTTTGGTGGACCAAAGATAGAGATTACCGGAAACCACAGCAATTTTATGCCATATATGAGACTCCATTTGAACTATGCTTCTCTAACCTGGTCTCCAAATGTCAGCAGTGACAGATGTAAAGGTGCCCAGGTGCTTTCAGTTCTGTAATTGATTCAACTTCAAGGATACAATTCGATAGTGCTAATTTATATTGGAATTGGACAGTGTACTTGTCATAGGGCCTGCGCTGCACACGGTGTGGCTGACTTTTTGATTCACACTGTATCCTTTTTGAATTTTCCCGGTGTGGCCTCGCCGGAGTTGTTGAAGAAGAAAGCTGATGCTTTTTTCCCCCCATGCCGGAAGCTCTAATTGCAACTTTTAATACTTTTAAATAATTATTTTTGTCACATCAGATAATTAATTGATGACTCAACATAATATATATATATATATGAAAAAGGATTAAGTTATTAAATGTGAAAAGTTGAGAGACTAAGTCATGACCGAGTTGAAAGTTCAGGGACTGAGTCACATTGTGTCAAAATTAGAGAGGACTGAGTTAAAAATGAGTTAAAAGTTAGAAGATCAAAAGATTAATTTTTCCTAAAATTAATCTCTTAATCCTGATACTTTTAACTTGGTAGTCCTCAAGTTTAATCTCAAGTTTGACTTCAGTACTTAAAATTGCTAAAACTAAGTCTCATCCATGTGGCAAAAAATAGAGCTGAGGTGGCATCTTAATAAGCTCCAAATCATTCTTATTTGGAAAGGGGAAAGAGAGAGAAAGTGAGGAAGAAAGATGAGAAGAGAGGTGACGGATGAGGAAGGTGGGCATGAGTTGCAGCAGATTTTTTATTTTTCTAAAGAGGACCCCGAAACAACTGTTCCTGGAGCCTCATCTCTTTTGCAAATTAAATTCTCCCACGCACACCTTCCTCCTTCCACCAAACCCTAACGCCTCCTTCCCCTAGTGGGCAATGTCACTTGGCCACCTCATTTCCAGAACGGAAGATCCATTTCAACCACCTCTCATAATCTGATTTCTTTGAAGCCAAATAAAGCTGATGAAAAAGTTTCATACTGTGGGACATGAAGAGCGTTCCATCAAATAACATTCAAAAGCCGAACAATATTACAGAATCTAACTTGCTGGACTACTTAGTCCAGCTTCCTCAGCCACGGCGTCTCTTCTCCTCTTCCTTACTCTATTTTCTGTCGCGTAGATGAGTTCTCAAGGACTGAGTCAGTTTTAGCGATTTTAAGGGCTGAGTCGTAACATATTAAAACTGAAAGCATTAAATTGTAACAAGTCAAACTTGAGAAATTGAATCGCGGCCGAGCTAAAAGTATAAGAGTTGAAAGATTAATTTTCCCTTATTTATTTGATTTGGTTGGAAGTGGAAAAGAAAATCATAGCACATTTTATTTTGGTCCTAAATATATAAGATTCCAATCCACTTCGTCTCTTATATTATATATTTTTTAAAGGTAGTCTTTCTAATAATAGTAATTCCAGCTAATAGACTTGATTAGTAAGGATATTTTAGGAAAGACAAAACACATTTATTATAAATAACTAATTTAACTTATTTTTTTAATCTGCTCAAATTAGGATCGAAGTTAGTATTAATTAATTAGATTGGTACGCAGTCTTCTTAATTAGTTGTGATCTGATGGTCGACAGCGGTAAAAAGAAAAGGATGGTCAAAGGATAATTATGTATAATATTAAATAAAAATCAACTACAAGCCGGCTCATTTTCACCTCCATAATGGCTCCTCACTCAGAATAATGTTCTATGAATAGTAGTGGTTTAATTTTGGGCTACGTGCATTTTTAATTTTGCGTATGGCATGTTTTCCAGATACTTCTCCTAGAGTGTAAAGATGGGAGTTTCAAAATTTGAAGTTTCTTCCCCCTCAATCCTTTCTCTCTCTATCATTTCAAAATCTGCAAGATTTCTTTCTCATGCTTGTTCGGCTTCCTCCTTCTTAAGTTATATCCAATATTTTAAAATATAATAATCAGATAAAAAAAATTGTTGTAAATATAAGTGGGTGTGTTAAAAGTGAAATCCCACATTACTCAAGAGAGAGGAAGCTAAAGTATATATATACTGTCTTATATTATTGGGCTAGTGAATGGGTCTAGAGGAGAAGTAGGATCTCACGCATATGACAACGGCTCACCAGAGGAAATGCAGTTGAAAACTAATGATTCCCCTCCTGTGCATGAGTTAAGACAACATTATACACCTCTTACAAAAACCTTTATTTTATCAGTTTATTTTTTGAATTAGTCAGAGGTTACTGAATTTTTGGAAAGTTTTATTCCTCATTAAACCAAGATTATCCTTTTATTAATCCTTAAATCGTTTTTCATGAATTAATGCTTGCCAACATCTAAATTCAATTTTGGAATGTATCTAACGTTCATAACCGAAAGTGTAAATATAGTTTATTGTGCCAACATCTGAAACTGATGATTTAATTGTGTTTATTGTCACAAGTGTGGTGCCCAACATTCCGATATTCCGTGGCCTATATAAAGGGGTTCAAGATGGTGTGTTCAACACACTACTTTTGAGCCTTTGAGCATTCGTCTTCTCCTTTGCATTTCTCTTCTTCTCCTCTCTCTGTTGCTGGGTTATATTTCTATTTTTGCTTTTATGTCACCCTATTTGCTGCAAGAAAAGTTTGTTTAATCCTGGGCAGTGCTACATCCATATTTACCTATGGTGACGGAATAACTCTTAAGGACAATATCTACTGGCATGACTCAAACCAGATTGATATGTAGCTCCAGTTTTCTCAACAAAAATAATATTAGAAATATATATATATATATGATGATATAAATATGAGAAGTAAATATAAAATTACTAGATATATTTTTAAAGTTGGAATTAATATTAGCAGTTTTAAATTAAAATTAATACATGTAGAAATTACTTGAATTTTAATACAATTAAAATATTAATATTTAAATATTTCAATTTTTATAATAATTTTTATCTTTAAAAATATAACAATATCACAATATAACTATTTTTGATGTAGTAATATAAATATTTTTACTTACCTTTTATAATATAGTAAATTTTTCAGATTTTGTTAAATTTGTAAATCTTTTAGATTTGTGTCAATTTTTACATAAAGATAATAATTTTGTCTTGTAATTAATTTAATATTTTTCTCCAAAACTAACATTAATTGACAGAGCATGTTGTAAATTGACGATTGAACCAAGCAAGCTCATCACCTAAGACAAATGACAGAGTATGTTGGTTCGATGCAGTGTGACGATGTTAATTAGAAATTAGCAGAGGGGGTTGTTCAATGCTACGGGGGAGAGAAGGAAGAAGTCACTGAGCCAAGTAGGCTGTTAATTAGCATAATTCCTCGTAAATGGTGGAACGTTGTAATCAAAGTGAGTCAACAACATCTACCTATCTATCTAAAAACAATATACTACCTCCAGTCCTAAAGGCAAAAGATACTCCTTCGATCCTTAATATAAAACCTAATTTTTGAGTTGGTTTTGATCCTAAATATAAGATTCATTTATCATATTTATCAATTTTCTCTAAATTACCCCTATAGATACTCCTTCAACCATAATCAAGTAGAAGAGGGAGGGGGTATTAAGAAAGATGATTATGGTATTTTAGGAAAAATGTGTCACTTTTCTTATAATTAACTCACTTATCTAACTTCTTTAATCTAATCAAATTAGTTAAATGGGTCTTATATTAAGGACCAGAGGAGTAGTTAATTAATTTGAATATATTAAGAAAATAAGTTAAATAAGTTATTTGTAATAAATAAGTGTTGTTTTTTTTAAAATATCCTTACTAGTGAATTGTATTAGTTAGAACTACTATTATTAGAATGATTACTTTATGAAAAAAATAAATAAATATGAGAGGCAAAGTGGATTGGGGTCTTATATTTGAGACTAAAATAAAAGTCAAATGAGGTCTTATGTTAAGGATAGGAGGTAGTATAAACACACACATATAATCACAAACCCTTGAGCACTTGATGTCCCTTTCACCTGATGGTTGCCTCATCACAGGCCACCGTTCCTTTGTTTGATCCTAGGGCAGTAAGCAGTGCTCTTTTCTGATGCAGACGCTTCATTTAGCAGATTTCAACTTCCCAATAGCACCTTTTCTCTCTTCTCCCACCATTCACTGAGAGATGTGTGTTGTAGAAATCAATAAAAATGGAAACTCTTTTCGTTTTTGGTGGCCATATTTTGAACGAAGCATGTATAGAATATTATAGCAAACGAGTTTGATGAGTCTGGGTTTAATGAGTGAAGCAACTCACCAACCCCATCCTCTGGTTCCTTCTCTACCTAACTTCTCTCTGCAATTATTGGACCCCATCAAACTTTTGCTCATCAGTTTCTCCTTTTCTAAATTTCCCAAGTGTGCCATATCCAACGTCTCTTGTTATTTACTGCAAACCATTGCATGTATTGCTGTTCCTGCAATTCATTTATAGGGGAATCATCCTCAAAATTTGGCATCAAATTAATGCGCATGCACTAGATACAACCAACAGCCAGTTGTAATGGCCTAATTACTGCTGCATTTGGTATTTGTAAATGGAAAGAGGACAACGCACGGATTTGGTAAATAAATAACAGATAAGATCATTCTGTTTGCCTACCTTTTCAACCATCATTTTTTGCTTCATGTTTTGTCTTTTCTTTATTTTAGTTCTGCTCTAACAAGTCCTTAGAGATTGTCACCGGATATGGACTCCTTCACTTCTTCTGCTTGGTGAATCGTCTTCTTTTTTCTTTTTCCTCTTCATTCTTGACTTTTTACTCTCTCCTTTACGTGTTTCCCATTGTCTATCCCCACTCCTCTTCCCCCCCCCCCCCAAATTCTTCCTCAATATCACGGGCAACACAGATACCTATTGAGCCATGAGGTAGCTTTATTGATATATTTTAGATTGTAAGACTTGTTATTCATTTATTTGAATTTGATATGTTGTGTGCCCAGTTTGATGGTGATATGGATACACTACTTAAAAATCAAATGAGCTATTATATTAAGAATCGAGAGGTAGTATCATGTTTGTTTATGCACTGAGGTTTGTTTGTGGTTTTCTTTAATTTTGATTAAGGCATGAATATAAACGTACTACGTTAGATAATCTCGTCTAATACTACGACTAATCTTTACGGGTGCTGATCAGTAGTCACGTGGCTTTAGGCTTTGCAACAAGCAAAGTCCAAAAGCGTCACGATAATATATACTCCAAATTATCTCTTTCAATTTTTAATATAAAAACTAGTTTGATTTTTAATTTATTTCTAAATATAATACCATACCTCAATCTACTTTATCTCTCATATTTTTTTTTCAAAGTAGTCCTTGTAGTGGTTGCACATGTTAAATATTCAATCAAATGATAGTTCTAATACATATAATTAGTAAGGGTATTTTAGAGAAGATAATACCTATTTATTACAAATAAATAACTTAACAAATTTTCTTGATCTAGAATTCGATTATCTGTCCAATGCTGTGCACAGTTTCTTCTTTGGACCAACAATAATGTTGTGCCTAGTTGAACAATGAAAATGCGGCCAATGGGATAATAAAATTTGCATATGCCTCATCAACAGAAATTTGATGTGTGATTCCATGCATATAAAAAAAATGCATGGTCTCGAAATACTCCACGTGTTTAATATCAGAGAATTTTGGGAATAATTATAGTGGTCCATGTATTTCTCTTACACGTTTGATTCGTCGCTTTTGGTCCACTTTTTTTTTTTTTATAAAAATTATCCTACTAAGGTTTGAAATAAATCAAAATGTGAAAATAAAGGGTTAGAAAAAAGAAAAGAATGAATGCATTTTTTTGTAATATGAAATAACCATGAATTAATATTAATCTTGTATATATAAAGGTGATAAAAAATTAAACAATTCGAATTTTTTTGGAATATTAAATAATCATTTCCCAAATCTATTGCTATGAAACTGAACATGGTTTTACTACTTGATTTAATTAGGAGTTGGAACATGGACGTATCCGTCTGTTAATGACGAATAGATAAGCTTGATCACACTTACTAATTTACGGCAAAAGGTTCTGCTGGAGACTAACAATTAAGCCCTTAGCTTGATCAACTTAATCGCGCTTCAATCTTATCCTGAATTGGAAAATTATTCCCTGACATAAATGAAAGTATTTTAATTTCTCAACGATTTCACAAAGAGCTACAATTTAATTAAAGGTAGTACACGTAACTTCCAAAATTTTCTGCCCATCCTTTTTTTCCATAAGTAGACTCGATGAATGAAATGCTCTATAAATTGATTCAACACATATCAGGAGCTTTTCATCAAACACCTTACGTTCCAAAACTAGAAGCCATGTCTGTTGCAGCATCTCATCGTGACAACACAAGAAGATGTGCCAATTTTACTGCAAACAAACATTTGGGGCAATATGTTTCTTCGATATGCTTCAGAATCTAAGGTATTCTATATATATATATATATATATATATATATGCAACCTATATTGATCGAGCATTCTAGCTAGCTCGTTTCTTTCTTTTTAAATTAAACATGTATTAAAATTACCTATCTGTGCAGTCTGGGATAGGAAAATTACATGCTTGTTTGGGATTTTTTCAGGAAGTTGATGACAATGTGGAACATAAGGTACAGAAAGAGAAGTCAAAGAAGGTTATATCTTCCAACGATCAGAGTCCTTCAGGAAAGCTAGACTTCATTGACTGGGTCCAACGTTTGGCAGTTTCCTACCACTTCGAACATGAAATTGAAGACGCATTGGCAAAGATTCACAGCATTTATACCAGTAACAACAATGTTGTTAGGCAGGATGTGGTGATAATCTTCACTTTGTGGCTTTACTCTTTCGGTTGCTGAGGCAACATGGATATCCCGTTTCATCTTGTATGTTCAAACTTCATCACAATTATATTTGCATTGTTTAATGAGAAGAGTTACATTTCTCTTTTCAAGCACTTCTACTAATTGGTATGCTCAGTATACATACATGTGAAATAGATGTATTTGAGAGATTCAAGGACATCAAGGGAAAGCTTAATAATGAAAGTCTCGCCGAAGACGATGTTGAAGGAATGTTGGCCCTGTATGAAGCTACACAATTGGAGGTTCCCGAAGAGAGCATACTGGATGAAGCTCTTCATTTCACTTACACCTGCCTTAAATCCCTCATAGATAACTACCAACTGAGCCCTTGTCTCAATCCACGTGTCAACCACCGCTTAAGTCAGCCTCTGCACAAGAGATTGCATAGGCTAGAGGCAAGGCATTACATGTCTTTCTACCAACAGCAAGATCCTTCCCAAAATCATATAAAGTTGTTTGACTTTGCGAAACTGGATTTCAATATGCTGCAGCATTTGCATAAAAGAGAAATTGGCAATATCACCAAGTAAATGAAGTGCTATATTTGTTAACAGTAATGATCCGTGGTGTGTGTACATATGATAGTACTTAAGCGGGATTGTTTATTTGTATTGCAGGTGGTGGAAAGAAACAGAGTTGCCCAAAGAGGTGCCTTATGCCAGAGATCAATTGGTGGAATCCTACTTTTGGTCTTTAGCCATGTCTTATGAGCCTCAACTCAGCACTACAAGAATGATAACTGGCAAATTGGTTGCTATTATCTGTCTTCTTGATGATATCTATGACACCTATGGCACACTTGAAGAACTTGAACTTTTCACATAGGCCATCCACAGGTTTGATAACAGATTACAGGGCCAAATTATTTACCAATCCTATTGCTGAAAAGTGAAAATTAATCATCAATTTTATAAACGACTTGACTATTCCTTCTTATTATTTGGTTATTAGATGGGATTGAAGTCCCGTTGAATCACTTCCAGACTGCATGAAAGCGGCGTTTGAAGCAGTTATACAAGCTTGCAATGAAATCGACATGGTGGCTGCAAAAGAAGGGACGTCAAATTTTGTGATGCCGCATGTTAAACAAGCAGTATAGAAGCAATGACTTTATAACTTAATTTCAACACAGATGATGTTATACTTATTCATTTTCACTTAGTTAATTACATATTCTGGTTGTAGTTTATTAATTTGGCCGAGGCATACTTGATGGAAGCAAAATGGTGCAGTGAAAAGTACGTCCCAAGCTATGAGGAGTACAAGAATAACGGAGTTGTATCTTCTTTTGGTCCACTTCAGATAACTTCTTTCCTGGGCCCTGGAAACCTAGCAACCGAAGAGGTGTTTGATTGGATTTCCACAAATCCAAAAATAATTGAAGCTGTCTCACTTATTGGCAGACTCATGGATGACGTGGCCACTCATGAGGTACAACTAAGACAATATGCGTGGGCATTTATATACTCATAGTAACTGAACATTTTGAATGAGAAAACATAATATGCATTTACTTACAAACAACAAAACTTCATTCATGCATGTATATTTAATTTTAAAATATCGATATCAAGTTTTAATAATAAAAAACATTAGAGTAAATTATACCATTCTTTTTGGTTTCACTTAAATTGTATAGATGTTCTCGGTACTTCTAAACCTTACACATATTTCTGTTGAAAATAAATATATCATATATACTTATATTATTTGGAGGAAATGATAAATAAGAGTTTTCTGGTTTTATTTACATGGACATGTACTTTGAGCAGGAGAGAGAGCATGTTGCTTCAAGAGTGGATGTTTTATGAAACAATATGGAGTTTCATAAGAAGAAGCCTACAAAATAATCAAGGATGATGTCAAAAATTGCTGGAAGGACATTAATGAAGAGCATCTGAACAATCCATACGACATCCCAAAATCTCTGCTTGACTATGTCGTCAATTGGGCTAGGGTGTCTGAGGTTGTCTATGAGAATCTACAAGATAGATTCACCAATGGCGAGTCCCTCAAACATTACATTGTTGTGTTATGTGCCAAGTTTGATGGTGATATGGATATATTATGTTTGTTTATGGATTGAGGTTTGTTCCTGGTTCTCTTTAATTTTGTTTAGGGCATGAATAGAAGTACCACGCTGGAGAATCTTGTCTAATACTACGACTAATCTTTGCAGGTGTTGATCAGTAGTCACATTGGCTTTAGGCTTTGTAACAAGCAAAGTCCAAAGGTATCACGACAATACATTCAATATATTATCTCCGATTCTTAATATAAAACTTAATTAATTAATTTGAGTAAATTAAGAATATCAGTTAAATTAGTTAACATGATATATATATTTTTAAAACATCTTAAGTATTTTCTTCAATTTCCTTCTTCTCTCTTCTACTTGATTATTGTTGAAAGAATATTAATAGAATTAATTCAAAAAAATTGATAAACATACAAAATAGATCTTACTTATAAGACTAACATCAGCTTACAATCAGAACATTAAACACGAGTATTATTTTTTCTTGGACAAAAAACACGAGTATTATATTTGCATAGGATTTCATTATCTTTCCAATGCTGTGCACAGTTCCTTTTTTGATTACCAATAATGTCGTGCATAGTTGAACGATGAAAATGCGACCAATGGGATAATAACATTTGCATATGCGTGATTGTCAACAGAAATTTGATGTGTGATTCCACGCATACGAAAAAAATGCATGGTTTCATATACTCCTCGTGTTTCATATAAGAGAATTTTTGGGGATAATTATTTTGGTCCATGTATATCTCTTACACGTTTGATTTGTCTTTTTTTGGTCCACTTCTTTTTTTTTTTAAAAAAAATTGTCCTACTAAGGTCTCAAATAAATCAAACTGTGAAACTAAAGATTTCATTTATAAAAAAGGGGGGAAAGAAAAGAATGAATGAATTTTTTTTGAATATTAAATAATCATGAATTAATATTATTCTTGTATAAAGGTGATTAAAAAAACAATTAGATGAGAGTAAAATAGAAAAAGAAAAATACTACTCACTTAAAGGTAAAGATTGCTTAGTGCATAAATTATTTTTTTTAAAATTAAACATGGAATTGAAAGCAATTTTTTTTAACAAAAAAAAAAAAGGCGAAACTTGAACGTCGTCGACTAGCTGTCCCTGAGGAAGCATCCGTGGGAGATGACATGAGGCGCCAGTCCACTACCAACAAGAGTCAACAATACAGCGGCCAAAACGTCAAAGGAAGGATGGTCAAGGGACAGTTATGTCTTTTCCCATAATCTCCGAATGTCAAGGAACTTTAATTTCTAGTAATAAACTAAACTCGAGAAACTTATTTATAATTAATTTATTGATTTGTGATCTAACTTTATTTTTCCTTAAACAAAAATCCTAAAAAGTGGCCTCTTACTCTTTATGCTGTGGATGCTAATGGCCGACCAAACACCCGTAAATTATATTTTCGGAAGAAATATAAAAAATTTTAAAAAAATGAGTTGCAAATATTAACTCAGGCAGTTATAAATAAAAAATTTAATTATGAACTGAGAATTTAATTTTAAACTTAAATGTCTTACTTATAATTTAAAATGCTTTATATTTCAGCGTTGTGGGAGAATTCTATATCATTAGTATTTACAATGGGTATAATTTTGTAAATAAACAAAATCGGTCTAATGTACTCGCCCAAAGTCTATATTCCATATAAGACTTGTTACTTCGTTACTTTGTTGTGGTCAAGTCTTATGAAATGATGGCGTTTGCTTGTGAATTAATTGAAGTTCATGCGACTTTCTTTTGTTTCAGTCTATATTTTATATATATAAGACTTGTTACTTTGCCATGGTCAAGTCTGGGCCAATATGGAATAATTGAGTTTCAGCCATAAATATATAATTAAAAGACTACTTTATTGACCCTCTCATCTAAATTTTTATGGTTATTGAGAAGAAGATTTATCCATGCATCTAGTACACAGCGAAAATTCGATGCGTGCATTTTATAACAACGACTTAATGCACACAAAAATGAATTAAATATAACAAGTAGTTGGATGCATAAAAATAGGTATAAAAATTGGAAGCATTTATCCTTTCAACAGAATAAAAATAGAAAATACACAGTAATTAAACAAAAAAAGTTAAATTATTAACGACTATATTATGACAAAAATGTCCATGATTTATGATGTTAAATTGTTAATATGAAAATTCTTGTGATGACATTTCTACTAATACAATACATAAGCTAGTACTATGCTTTGATCTCCGCGCATTGATTGATTCAATTCAAGGCTTGGGTTAATTTGTGATATCATTTTGAAGGTGAACTTGGGCAATCGAATTGAAAGGAGAAAAATTAATTAATGCATGTGAAACATGATTTATTATTCAAATGAGATCCTTCAAGGTACTAGGGAAGGAAGAAATTTCCCAAAGAAAGTTAAGATCCTCAAAAGTCATGTCATGTATCTTTCATTTGAATAATACTCTGACTTCTGTAACATCCTGCAAATTTTAACTTTGAAAATGAGAGAATTAAAATAGATCAGGATCAGTTAGTGTAGCGGGGACATAGATCTCATTAGTTTTGAACTAAAACCCAGACAGTATCAAGACTGATATTTTTTGAAATATTAGTTAAAGAAAGATCTGATGGATAAGTTAGGTTAAAAATTTCCAAAAAAAATCTCAAAAAATCATGTAAAATAGAATTGAGGGGTCAAGGAGCAGCATTTGAGACCCTAGAGGAATTATGGAAAGGAAAATAAATTAATATAGAATTTTCAATATTTTCATAAATTTTTTGTTACACTAAGAAATAGTGAACAAAGTTAATTATTTAAAATATCTAGAGGCCTCAATAATTCTTAAAAAAAATATAAAAAATTTTCTTGAAAGATTATCATAATTTATAAAATTATTTCTGACTTCAAATGATGAGAAACTTAGCTTTAATAAAATTTAAAGCAGAATTATCATCGATAGAATGCTGATTTCGCTAGAAATGGAATTTAGAGAATTTCAAACCGAATTAAATTTTGAGAAAAATCATGAAACTTTCTTACACTAAGAGAAGGCTAATGGTGTATTGAGATGAATTTTCTGAGACAGTAAAATAGACAGAATACAGAAAAATTCATCCAGTACTACACCGATACTCAGTGCAATGTAAGGATACCCAGGGAAGTGAAATTTTCTGCAAAATTCTCCAGTCCATTTGGCCCAAAAATCACACCTAAGGAGGCCCATTTAGAGAAAAAATATTTAAATAGAAAATAAAAAGAGAATAGAGTTTCTAGAATATCATTAAGAAAAGTAATCATGGTGATTAAGGAAGTTAATTAAGGTTAAAGTTAAATGATATTGATATGACATAAGTAAAGTGACATGACCACCATAATATCACATGGACAAGTGGCAAGATCACATTCTTGAAGCCTAAGATTTGTCTATTTATTTCATTTTGTTTTCCATTATTCTTAGAATAAAAATGGGGGTTAGGATGTGTCTACCAACCCTTTGTAATTTTCTTAAACTTCAAGGGCTAAGAGTTAAGTCAAAGTACTATAAATACCCCCACCTCTCTAATTATAATAATGACTTAATGCACACAAAAATGAATTAAATACAGCAGGTAGTTGAATGCATAAAAATAGATATAAAAATTGGAAGCATTTATCCTTTCAACAGAATAAAAATAGAAAATACACAGTAAACGACAAAAGTTAAATTATTACGACTATATTAATGAAAAAATGCCTATGACTTGTGATGTTAATATGAAAATTCTTGTGATGACATTTCTACTAATACAATACATAAGCTAGTACTATCCTTTGATCTCCACGCATTGATTGATTCAATTCAAGGCTTGGGTTAATTTGTGATATCATTTTGAAGGAGAACCTGAACAATTGAATTGAAAGAAGAAAAATTAATTAACGCAGGTGAAACACGATTTATTATTCAAATGAGATCCTTCAAGGAACTAGGGAAGGAAGAAATTTCCCAAAGAAAGTTAAGATCCTCAAAAGTCATATCAGGTACCCTTCATTTGAATAATACTCTTTGACTTCATTTCCCAAATTTATTGCCATGAAAATGAACACGGTTTGATTAATTTGATTAAATTAGAAGTTGGAAGTTGGACGCACCCGTTTGTTAATGACGAACAGTTAAACTTGATCACACTTATTAATTTATGTCAATTGCTTCTGCTTGAGACTAACAATTAATTAACCCCTTAGCTTGATCAACTTAACCACGCTTCATTCTTATTCTGAATTGGAAAATTATTTCCCTGACGAGAATGAAAGTATTTAATGTCACAACGATTGCTAGAAAGAGCCGCAATTTAATTAAAAATAGTACGCGTAACTTTCAAAATTGTTCGGCCCATCCATTTTTACCATGCAACTTCATGTACAGTCAAGGCTCAGGCCCCACCTAACCCTCTAGGAAAGTAGACT